GGTTGTTCAAAACATTACAAAGCTCATGAGTTTATAATTCTTTTAACTTTTGCTTATCGTGGAAGGTTTTTTTTATTTTTTAATTTTTTATTGGTTGTTCAAAACATTACAAAGCTCATGAGTTTATAATTCTTTTAACTTTTGCTTATCGTGGAAGGTTTTTTTACTTCATGATCAAATTTGTGGAAGGTTTTTTAATTTCATCATCAAATCTAAAGTTTAATTTTGCTGGACATAAGATACTTGGTTGGCATCTGTTTTCTTTCAGAGCTTGATATGTATTGATCCAGTATCTTCCAGCTTTCAGGGTCTGGGTTGAAAAATCTGCACATCTAATTGATTTCCCTCTACATGTAATCTGATTCCTTTCTCTCATGGCTTTTAATATTCTCTCTTTATTCTGTATGTTAGCCATTTTTATTATGTGTCTTGGTGTGGATCTGTTGTGATTTTGTATATTTGGCACCCTGTTACCCTCCTGAATTTGGTTTTCCAATTCATTCTTCGTGTTTGGAAACTTTTCTGATATTATTTCGTTGAGTAGATTGCTCATTCCTTTAGTTTGGAATTCTATGCTTTCCTTTTTCCCAGTAACTCTTAAATTTAGAGTTTTTATGCTATCCCATATTTCTTGAATGTTTTGCTCATGGTTTCTTACCATCTTCACTGTGTGGGCTACATTCTTTTCAAGATTATATATTTTGTCTTCATTGTCTGAGGTCCTTTCTTCCAAGTGGTTTAATCTGTCTGTGATGCTTTCAATTGAACTTTTAATTTGGTTTATTATTTCTTTCATTTCAAGGATTTCTGTTGTTTTTGTTTTTTTTAGAACCTCTGTCTCTCTATTGAAGTAATCTTTTGCTTCCTTTATTTGTTCATGTAGCTCTGTCAAAATGATCTTTTGCTGCCTGTAGTTGCTCTCTTATATCATTCTTTAATTCACAGAACATTTTAATCATGTACATCCTGAACTCCTTCTCTGTCATTTCTTCTGCTGTGCTGGCCATGGATTCTAATAATGTGATATCTTGATATGTTTGGGGCACTCTCTTCCCTTGTCTTTCCATATTGCTTGTGTGTCTTCCCTTCTAGCACTGTGGATCCGAGTCTTATAGTGCCCCTGTAGGGATCTAATACCTCTCCTTTGAGGTGAAGGACAATGGTAACAGATTCCAATATAACCAATATACACCCTAAAAACAAATGTTTGCTGTTAAGAGGTTTATACTTTGGTCAAAATGTACAGAAATGGTGAATTCAGTTATTATCTACAATATACTCAGTAGGTTTATAAAAGTGTTTACAGTTTCTAATGGTGGACAAAGAACCAGAGGTGAGGAGTAGGATGATATGCTGAGGAGGTACGAGGCCCACGATCTTGGATCTGTATTTCACACTTCTTAGGAAGTGTGGAAGAGAAATCTGACAAGGAAGGTTAGTAGCAGGAGAAGGGAGAGAAAGTAATTTTGAGTAGACAAGTAAGTGGGAAGACAGTAGAGTACATAAAACAAATATAGATATATATTAAGAAAAATAAAAAATGTTAAAATAGTAGAAATTGCTGGGAAAAATTTTTTTTAAAAAAAGAATATACACAACTGTAATATACTATTTAGAAGTCCCAGTCTTCAAAATCCTAATTCATGCAAAGTACTTGGTTTCACATATGGATGTGAGTGCGGGAGAATAGAGAGGGAGAGGAAAAAAAGAACTTGAAGGACGAAAGGTTAGGGATTGTTTTAGTTGGAGATCAGTATCTTTCCTGCTTTCCTTCTTATCTAATAGGTGGGGTCATCTGTTGTTATATAGTATCTCTGCCCTCAGGATGGTGAAGGTAACCAGGGTGTCACTGTGCCAGGGTAGCCGGGGAGAGGGGGTAGTTAGAAACTGAGTACCTGGCCAGCCAGAGTTCCAAGTTGGGATTTGCTCCCACTGAAAGTGATGAAGGTGACCCAAGGTGGAGGCGCCTGCTTTCATTGTTTGGGTGTCGGGTCGGTGGGGGGAGCCGAGTGATGGCATTGGACAAGAAGGTCAGAGACGAGCTCTGGCTTGCAGTATGTGGCTGTCAGCTTACTTCAGAGCCTGTGTGAAGTTCCCTGGTGTAGGCAGGCTACTCTGTGTAAGGGACTATCTGCTGCTGCAGCAACCAGGGGATCCCCATGTTGGTAGATGGGGGTCCACATGGGAGTGGCAGCTAGAGTTCCTGCATGTGGGAAGCTGCCAGGTGTCATGCGTGGGAGCAGCATCCTGACACTGAGGCCTGGAGCCCTGGACGGGCACAGTAATCGTATCCTGCCCAGGAGTAGGAATATCACTACAGAGAGGCAGTATTCTCACTACTTGAGTCCTAGGTCATGGAGTGACACGGAATGCCACCTCTCTTGGCCCACCATCTTGGATCTATATTTATTTATTGTTATATGGTGCTGAGAATTGAACCCAAAGCCTCACACATGCTAGGCAAGCACTCTACCATTGATCCATAATCCCAATCCCTCAGCTATTACTTTTTTGAAAGTACTATCCACTGTTCCATCTCGGATTATTCTGAACCCTCTTCTCATGTGTGGTATAGCTGCAGTTAAACCAGCTGCCTGTACTTAGCTAGAGAAGATGCAGCTCCTTGTACTGCTAGGCCACAGATACCCTAGTTTGAGTCTATTCTGCACACTTGCATTTCTTTCTTCAAATGCCAGCCCTCCTAATTCTCAGTAGGAGAATTACCTGTTCTCACTCAGTGCACTGTGTAACTTGTTTAAAAAAAAAAAAAAAAGATACTCCTGTGCAGAGTATGTAGACTTTGAAACCCATATAGCCAAACCAGCTTCTTAACATTCTCTTCTACTTGATGGTGTCTGTTTCCTACCTGTAGCAGAAAAAAGTTTTTGCCCTCTAGATACGGCACAGCTGAAAAAATAAACAAGCAAATAAGCTTCCATCTGGACAAGAATTAGCTCTGCACTTTTATATTTGAGACTTTCTGGTTCAGAGTCTTTTGTTCATTCTAAGCCTTAAATAATTATTTAGCAGATAAAAGAATAGAGGACTAACAAAGAAGCTGTTTATTTTCTTACAGTAAGATATTTAGACACTTAAGGTCTAAGTTAAACAGACCTGTTCCCTCACTTCTAGTCTGACTGGTCTTGTATCAAGGTTGAATGCTTCTTGGAGGCAGTTGAACACATGCTGTGGTCAGGCCTGTATACCTTGCCCTTTGACAGAGCACTACTTTTTTAAAAATTAACTTGGGCCCTGATTTGTAGGTAAGCTGGTATGTAGTAGACTCATAATTGTCTAATCAATCATAAGAAGATACCTCATTCTGTTTTCCATCTTTGTTTAGGTTTTTAAAAATTTTTACCCATTTTAGGCCTGCATTCTAATGATTTTTAGTATATTTGCAGAGTTATGCAGCCATCACAATTTAATTTTAGAAATATTTCCATTCTTAAAAATAAATCTTATACTTCTTAGCATTCATTCTCCTTACCTCATGTTCAGTTCTAGGTAACCACTAACTTACTATATCTATAAATTTGCCTATTCTATATATTTTACATAAAAGAAGTCATATAATGAGGGCTTTTTTGTCTGTTCTTTTACTTAAATATAAGATTCTCAAGGTTCATCCATGCTATAGAATATCTCAGTATGTCATCCCTTTTTATTTCCAGATAATAATTCATTTTATAGTTATACAAGTTTTTTTATTTACCAATTGATGGACATTATGAATAATACTACTATGAATATTCATGTGCAAGTTTTTGGTTTAATTTGGTTTAATTTCTCTTGAGATACATACCTAGGAATGGGAAGGGTAGCTAAGAAAGCTTAGGAAGGGAATCTCAGTAATTTTTAAGAATGCAAAGGGATGCTGAGACCAAAATGTTTAAGAACTTCTATACTATAGACAAGATGACCACTAGGCAGGTTTGTGTATACACACACACACACACACACACACACATATTTTAACTTATTTTCAAATGGTACATTTTGCCATCCCAAGAGAAATTCCAACAGTAGTTGAATATTCATAAAAGCATTGAATAAAGATATAGTTTCCATTTGGTGGTTAAACAGTAATACTAACAGATGGAATGTCAGCTACAAAGAGGATTAATTGTGCCTCTTTGTGGAGGAGGAAAATATTGTTTAAGTTGCAATATATTTATTAGAAACATGAATTTCATTATTTCTAGTTAGGTTTGTATATGAACAGTGGTCTTACCTTTGTGTCTTATAAGAGCTCTCAATTTCACGCTTAAATTAACTGTTGGAAATGATTTAGCTAAAAAATGGAGACTCTGTAGAGAAGTCAGGAATGCTCATAAGGAGCCTCCTGTCAGGCATGGGTGTGAGGCTTGCAGTGTTGCTGGCACCCAGAGACCAAGCACAAAAGAAGGCAAGAGACTTTCTTTGAGGAGACTCAGGAAAGAAGGCAGTGTCCTTTGAGAACTGCAATGGATATGAATGGGGGAGGGCATTTCAGAGGAAGACAGCGCTGAGAGCACAGAGAAGGAGGTTTGAAGCTTCTGGATCTTTTAGGGAACAGCAAGACATCTGATAACTAGTGTTTTGGGCTGGAAGAAATCAAACTAGAAAGAAAGATGGTGAGGTCCTAAGGGCTTTCCTGCCATGGTTAGAAATGTAGCATCTACTTTGCAGGAAGGAGCAGGAGTGGAGAGAATGGACTTGTGTTTTAGGCGGGTAACCTTGGCAGCATTATAAGGGGAGGTTTACAAGCTGGACCAGTTAAGGGCTTATGTTTTCTTGAACKGATGGTTAAGGTAATCAGAGACAGACTTGATGGAACTTGTACCTATTTAGAGGGAAGGGGAGAAACCAGTCTGATGTTTTGGGGTGGGGGTTCATTATGTGTGATTCGGAATCCTGGAGAAAGAGCAGGTTTGGGGCTAGAAGGTGGGATGGACTTTTCAATTTTTTAAAAAATCTATTCTGTTTCATTTATTTAAGACTTGTTCTCCCTTCTCCAGATATCATCGACCCTGCCATTCTGCGCCCAGGTCGGCTGGACAAAACACTCTTTGTGGGTTTGCCACCCCCAGCAGACCGTCTTGCCATCTTAAAAACTATCACAAAAGTGAGTAAAGGAAATGGAATATTTTTGGATGTGTTTCTCTCAATAACTATAGTTACAATGGGTATTGATTCAGGATGCCTGAATACTTTCTTTACTCTAAATATTTGTCCAGTCTAGATCTCCCAAAAAGGAAGATGAACTTTTATTTTATCATTGAAAATCCTTTCCATTTTTATTTTTATTTGCTTAAAGTGAAGGCAACTTAAATAGATTAGAAAACTGAAAAAGCAGAGGGATATTTGGAGATATTGTTCGATTAATATATTAGACATATCACTGAAATCACATTTTCCATTCTTTTAGATGTGTGATTGTTACTTTTAGAAGAATTAACATTAGTTCATGTTTGAAATGGAATAGAAACATTTGGAGCTGAAAAGTAAATCGATGTAGGTCCAAAGTAAACATCCAGAGAAAAATTCAGTTTTGATAACACCATGTTGAATTTTGTCCTCCACGTTTATGTATTTCAACTTAAAAAAATTGTATTAATATATTATAGTTATACAAAATATCGGGTTCATTTTGACATATTTATAACCACATATAACTTAGTTTGTTCCAATTCAATCCCTAGTTCTTCCCCTTTCCCCTCCCCTAGATCCCCTTCCTCTGCTCTGTCTTCTATGTATTTATCATTTTATTAATTTGTGTATTATAGTTATGTAAAAGTTAAATTCATTGTAACTGTTATTCATGCCTGCACATACTATAATTTTATTCTACGGTTTCTTTCCTTTCTCATCCTTACCCCTTTCCTCAGTCCCCTTCCTCTGTTCCACTGTTCTCCCATTTTCATGAGTTTTTTTGATTTTTAAAATCCTTACTTCTCTCCACTTTCTGCATATGAGAGAAAACTTTTGGGTCTTTGCCTTTTGAGTCTGGCTTATTTTCCTTAGCAAGATGTGCTGTACCAGTTCTACCCATTCACCTGCAAATTATATRTTTCATTCTTCTTTATTGCTGAGTAAATACCATAATTTCTTCATCTATTCATCTGTTGACAGGCTCCTAGACTTGTTCCATAACTTGGCTATTGTGAAATGTGCTGTTGTAAACATTGGCCTGCATGTATCCCTATCATAAGGAATTTTTTTTTAAGAGAGAGAGAGAGAATTTTAATATTTATTTTTTAGTTTTCAGCAGACACAACATCTTTATTTGTATGTGGTGTTGAGGATGGAACCCAGGCTGCACRCATGCCAGGCGAGCGTACTACCACTTGAGCCACATCCCCAGCCCTGCATGTATCCCTATAGAATGCTGATTTTAGTTCTTTTGGATAAATACCAAGAAATGCGATAGCTGGGTCACATGGTAGTTCCATTCCTAGTAGAATCCGTACTGATTCCCAAAGCAGTTTTACTAATTTGCAGACTCACAAACAATGAATGAGAGTATAATTTTCCCACATCCTCCCCACATTTCCCTCAGAATTATAGGTATCAATGACTTATTTGGACCTACCATATCCTATTTCCTCAGTGATTTTTCAAATTAAATAACATGCATTTTTACTCACAATATTTTTAGCAGAATATAATATTTTTCAGTAAGTTCGGGAGCAATATCCTCCAAAGTTTTTTTCTATACAATATTTAAGAATTATTTTAATCATAAATTACAGTGGCTTGACTTTTGACCCAAATGTAAGTATAAACACATCCAGTAAAAAACTGTTGCTATATATGTTTTCCAGCTTTTAAGATGCCTGTACAGAAGTAGGCAAGGTGGCACACACCAGTGCCTGGGAAGACTGAGGCAGGAGGATTGCAAGTTCAAAATGCCTCAACAGAAACGAGGTGCTAAGCAACTAATGAGACCCTGTCTCTAAATAAAATACAAAGTAGGGCTAGGGACATGGCTCAGTGATTGAGTGCCCCTGAGTTCAATCCTCAGGATCCCAAAAAAGAAAAAAGATGCCTATACAGAATTGATTTTTCTGTTTAAAAAAAAAAAAAAAACTAATAAGAATTGGACACAAAATAAAAAGGAGGAGGCAAGTCATCCCAGATTGTACTATGGCCAAATGATGTATATTGACATTTAGTGCAGACATTGCAAACCTCTCTATGCAGTAGGGTTGGTAGGTGATAGAGTGAATGAAAAAGGGGGAATAAACGTAATACATTATTTAAAGAAAGTTAATTTTATTTGAGAATTAAAAGAACAAATTAAAAGAGATTAACTTCTTATAAATATTTCTTTGTTATAAAAGGTTTTCTTTCCTAACGTTGCTCTGAGAGTTAAAAGGAAAAAAAGATTAGAAAACTGAGAAAGCAGAGGAAGTCATTATTATTATTATTATTATTGTTACAGATGGACACAATATCTTTATTTTGTTTATTTTTTTTTATGTGGTGCTGAAGATCGAACCCAGCACCGCACATGTGTGAGGCAAGCGCTCTGCCACTGAGCCATAACCCCAGCCCAAGTTATTATTTTTGAAGTACAGATTTCATTTTAGACAAATCAGTTAAAAAGGTAATTAACAACATTCTTATCTTCCCTTCCACCACTGCACAGTTTTTGTTGCGTGTATATATGTCTGTGGCCAGTTTTATAACACTTACATTATGTCCAGCAGTCATAATCTTAGTTTAATATTTAAATAAATCTAGTACTCACAACAGCAATTTCACAAGTTTTTTCTATTTAATTTGTTTCATCTTTTTATCTGTATTTCCTTATTAGCTTTATTCTTTTATTCTGTTTATTAAGTATATTCTACTTTATTCCTTGAATTCTTTCCATGATTAAATATATCTGTTGTCTTTATATCTGGATAACAGGTTAGCTGGAAATAATTTTTGATTGGTCACAGTTTTCCCTATTGTCTTTGTAAATATTGCAGTGTGATTTTTTTTTTTTTAATTCTGAATGTGTCTGTAAAGATGTTTGAGGCCTCTTCGTTGATCTCACTCACCTGGTGCCATGTTCCAGGAATACAGAGCACCATGAGAAATGGTGTAACTTTGTAATTCCTCCTGATTCTGCTGAAATCCCTTGATTAGTGTGTCTGAGGACTTTCTTTAACATTCTCTAAGGAYATCCTCTCCACAGGCTACTTCTCTTAATATTTGAGTATCAGTGGACATCATAAGATTTTGTCACCTTACCTTTCCTCAGTGCTCCTTCCTGGCAATGTAGTCTTGATTATGAGCCACCCCAGAAGTTTCTCTTTCCATTCCCTTCCACTTTCAACATTTGCAAGATGCAGGTTTTCTCCTTTCTTTATTTGGTTGCTTTGAGTAGATTTTTAAACTTTTAACTTTTTAAAATAGATTCTTTGGATGATAACAAAGGAAAACCATGATCCAACTTTCACAGGCCATCATAACTTAAAACTGCATTGGCTAATATTCATAACTATCTCCAAAAGGAGGGAGGAACAGATGAGAAAAGAAGGCTGATCAGGCATTGTGGGTTAAAAAGCTCCCACTAATGAAGGACGGGGTGGAAGACAAGATGGTTCAACCAAAAACTGAAATTCAGCATACCAGAACTTAAGGCAATATCAGAGARTAGCAAAAGGGACTCAGATGGAAATTGTTTAAAGTTTTTAATTAATGGGACATTGGATTACTGTAGAGTTGAGGGAGAACATGAAGGCAGGTAAATTCTCTGCATGAGCATTACCCAAGTGATGATGTCTAAAAGGAAGTTGGATTCATGGCTGGGAGTTCATAAGAGTCCTCTGGTTGAGTTATAGCTTTGTATGTCATCGTCATATTACTGGTGAAAGCTGTGAAAACGCATTGCTTAGCTCACTGTTTGTCAGGACAGTTTTACCGCAACCCCACTCCACATTTTTTTAATTGTCTGTGAGATGTTTGTCTTCAGGAAAGGGAGTGTTGCTGCTGTCAAATATCCTACAGCAAACAGGAAAACCAAACACACTACCCAAAGATTTATCTAACACAAAATGCCAATATCCCAAGGCTAACAAAGCTTGCTTTATTCGTATATACTTGTTATCTGTACCAAGCAAATTTAATGGCATTTTCCTTCCATTTCCTTGGCTCCATCATTAAGAACTTCAGTAATGAGATTTTGTTCATTTTGGTTAGTATGWATTTAGATACATGTATATATAAGTAAGTCTATACACACACTACTAGTTTCTCCATATGAATTTCCTGTAGTCATGGTAACAAATGAAAATGACACACTTGCATGTGGGATATCAAAGGAAATGAATAGAGTGCTGTCCATTTCTAGAAGAGAGGCTTACAAATTTGTTTGGAGCCTTACAAATTTGGATCCAAAAGAATGATCACCTCATCATTTCAGATACTGGTTCATTCCCATAATGATACCCACAACTTGGAGCAACTTTACACTTTCTTTTTCTAGAATTTCATCACCATTCCAAAAATTATGAACCCTCATACTAAGGTTTGAATGTTTCTACATATCTGCTTCAAGAATAAAATGATAAAGGAAATAATGTAATTCAATATTTACCTAAAATTAGCACTCTTTTTTTWAAATTTGTGTTTTTAGTTGTAGATGGACAGCATGCCTTTATTTTATTTATTTTTATGTGGTGCTGAGAATCGAACTCGTGCTGAGAATCAAACTGAGTGCCTCACATGTGCTCTTCCACTGAGCTATAGCCTCAGCCCCCAGCACTCTTTTACTTAGTCAACAAGTACTCACTAAAAATTAATTCTATCCTTGATTCTGTGTGTACTATTGAGCAGACCAAGAAACATAAGACCCAGTCTTTAGCAGTAAGGAGCTTGCCTTCAGATGAAAGATCATATGAATGTTTATGAAACAACAGACATATTAATCCACTCCTGAGGAGGGGAAAAAAAGGAAAGTGAGTACCCTAGCAATTTCAATTCTCTCATAGAAGTATAAAGAAAAAAGAAGGGCTGGGGATGTGGCTCAAGCGGTAGCGTGCTTGCCTGGCATGCGATGCGTGTGGCCCGGGTTCGATCCTCAGCACCACATACAAACAAAGATGTTGTGTCTGCTGAAAACTAAAAAAA